GAAATGTCTGTGAGAGTAAAACTTTGATGTAGGCCTACCCTAGGACAATTTTTCCATTGCATTGACACTCTTGCTTGCAAGCCTGCTTCTCGTGAATTGAAATGCTATAACGTTGGGAATTTAGGCCAATTAGGAAAATAGGCTCAAGACTATAATACGATTATACTCTTAGCAAAGCTCACCTCCATTAATTTTTGGCGTAGATACATGTATTTAAATGTAGCATCACCAGCTTCACTCAAAGGAGCATCGTAGTCGTAGCTGGTTGTGTCTGACTGAAACGGTGGGTCATTGGCTCCGGACCAGAGTCCAAAGTTCGTACCTCCATGAAACATGTAGCTAAAAAAAGAGCAATAAGCACTAGCTTAGAATATTAAGATGGAGATTATTGGGGAACATAGTGCTTATTTATTTTAATGCTCTGCAATCATCATTTTGCTAAAAACTACTTGCCTAGATTTATTGACTAACTTTGTCAGATTACGGAATTTAGGCTTACATCTCATTGTGTGTAATGTGGCTAATTGGTCGAGCCGTAACCTTTGGCGATTCATCGGTTGACTCAGCTTAGTTTCGATATAAATACGTAGTGACTTTTGCTTCACAGCCAGTCAGTAAGCAGTAAGCTGTACAAGTAATTGTCGGGACTATAAGGCATTCCTTGATTAAGAATGTAGTTATTCTAGGTCGCTCAAGTTAATGACTTAATGACTGATATGAAGAGAAGCTTGGTTTCAAAAAGTTCGTTAATAATATATTGTGGCATGACTTTTCATTTTGAAAGAAAAGTTGGCTAGAAGGAATTCGGGATATGATCTGACCGAAAACCGAAGGATTGCTGCGTAGGGAAGACTGTTGTATTGTTGGAAGAAGTCCTTGATTTAGTACATTTTTGCTCCATTTGGTAAAGCATGAATTCTTGCTTTAAAGATGTCTGTCATAGTACAAACAAAAGATTATAACAGGTTCATCGAGGTCACAAGACGGTAAGCCGAGTACTTCTTCGAACAATACAACAATCTTCCCTAGGTTGCAATCCTCCTTTGGTTTCCGGAGAGACCACATCCAAAATTCTTTCCAACCAACTTTTCCTTCGAAATGGAAAATCATGTCACAATTAAGAATTGATAGTTCGATATTCCCAATTGTGATGAATCGTCACCCTAAGCGATCTCGGATAACTAAGTTCTTATTAAGAAATGATCATGCTGTAAAAAACTACTTTAATCGAAAAGAAGTCAAGTCCGCCAATGAAGCGCTATAAATTGCGGCCCGCAGGCGAATATATGATAAAAATAACGAGCTCTTGCATGAAGCAAACTATAATAGTGGGACTGAGCAAGGATAATAACATCAGCCAGTAGTGATATTGGGCATCTTTAGACATGCTTTATTGATACCAATAAAGCCTTGTAATCGAAGATATGAAGAACAAGATGGTCGCAGTCTCCTTTAGTTGTATAGAAGTTGTTTGACCTTGTTTTCTTAACTTGGTCACATTGGTAGGAAGACTTAGAGGAACGTACCTAGTCTGGATTCCATTGTATGCATGATCATTTCCAAAGTCGGAACGTGGACGTAGTATATTCCTAGACGTTTCTCCGGCATCGTCAGTGAGTCTAGCCAGTCTTGTCATGGTCAAGCCTTTGCTTCATGGACCATGTTTATGTTAAAACAGAACTAGTGTCAGCCAACTAGCTCTAGTCTCCGTCGCATCTATCCTATTTGTATCCGTAATACCAAATCTATGACTTGCTATGCCCTAGCTTCTTGTGTGCCAAACCACAAATGTTGTGGTACTGCTTGCTTTGATTAGGTTCAATGTTGAATATAACGCCTCGTGGAACACAGATGGGGTAGCAGGGGTCAAGTTAAATACTTGAACCAGGGAGATAGCAGATGGACCCTACGGGGCAAGAGGGAAACTCTGATAAGACATAGGTAAGGACTGCGTAACAATATGGCAGACTATGATCAATATTCCCAGCACAATGGTGAAGTGGGTGAGAACGCCAGCGTGGGGTGTGAAGAGATGATACGAGAATATATGAGAGGAGAATAGACCATAACAGAAGAGATACCACAACATTTTAGCACAAATTTGGTCAAAATATCGGCTTCATTTGTCTCTTTGACGAGTTGTAATACGGTGCTACGAATGGTAAGACTCACTGACGATGCTGACTACGATGTCGACGAAACGTCTGGGAATGTACCACTTACACGGTCCGACTTTGGAAATGATCATGCATGCAATGGACTCCGGAATAGGTGCGTTTCTCTAAGTCTTCCTACCAATATGAACAAGTTGAAAAAAACAAGGTCAAACAGCTTCAATAAAGCCTTGTATTTGCTAGGAGCAGAAATGCAAAGTTTCGACGTCAAAAATATCGCAGTGTTTGGCTACATCGTTTTGTAGCTAAGGCCGTAAAAATACATATAATAAAAATTGTTTCATGCATGCGTGTTACAGACAAAAAATTGTATGATCCTGCTTATATTCACGGGTGATATTTAATAATATAATTTTAAAATTCCCGCTACATGCCAAAAATCCAGCTGCAGAATTACGACTTACATATTAACATTTACTCGCTTTGAATAGTTGAGTAAGTGGATGAGGCTGTGGACAAAGGTGGCTGTGTCTGTCACATGATGTCGCTCACCCCAATGATCCAACCATCCGGAATAGAATTCGCTATTCACCTAAAGGCATGAAAAAGGAATAGCTAGTAAGGTAAACGGCGGAAAAAGAACTATTGCGTTTGCATGTGCCAACCAAATATTCGATCCTAGTCAACTAGGAAATAGAAGAGAAAACACAATCGAATGGACGACTTCCCACAACCCCATAGAAAGAAATTATTAAAATTACGTACCGACTGTAAGCAAAAATCGAGGACAGTGAAAAAAGAGGAATGATTCACATACTTGCATCATTGATATGATATGAATCCAAAATGGAGAGTTGAGGTGGGCATGGACGCGATTTTAGCCCCACTTAGAGTAATAACTATCCTAACATATTGTTAAATCGTCATGCTTACAAAATGGTGGTGCTAAAACACTGTGAGTAGTTAAAT